AATGAAAAAGTATTTCTTTCTTTTTTTGTGCTATATATGCACTTGAGATGATAAGGTTGTGTTTGAACTTTGCATAGAATTGATTTGGATTCCACTACGTATACTATTGCCTCGCCTTAGTTCTGTGGAAATGAAATGACCACACCTCCCTCCTTTCCAATTCTGCTAAAATCGCAAGAAGTCTGTGTTTTGCCAAATTCCACCCCTTAAAAGGTTCCTCCAAAGGACAGGATCCGGAGAATTGTGGTACTGACAACTCCAATTGTACTGAACTCCACCCTCACCAAAATTGTAACCTAAAAGTGAGAAACATGAGTGTGTTGTAACAATTTTATTGTTTGGGAGTAAATAAACCTAATTCAAAAAATGTGAAATGGCATGAGTCAGCTCTAAAATAGTATTGTTTCCCATATCGGATTAGAAAGTTGCTCATACCCTACCCTTTATAAGACAATGGATTTATAACAGTCTATAAGCCTAGTCGGTCCAATATGAATCCGAAATTAATCAATCCGGTTTAAGCCAGTTTACAAAATATCATATTAGGCCAAGCTTTAACTAGTAGTTGACAATTGGCAACTTGTGCTAATTTAATGTTATTTTTAAAGAATATTAGAGAATGACCCCATATTAAGAACGGGGTAATTAAATGTGTGTATAATTTAGTTTGAAGTTTACTATTTAGTTATTAAAAATTAAATTAAAAAAAAATTAATATGGGTCTTGCATCTTTGTAATTGATAATCTATTCTGACCTATTTTATTTGAAACTTATTATTAATTTATATTTTTTAATTTGATTTAAGATAATAAATCAGATCTTATTGATAAACAATAACCCACTTTATTTGGTATTTACTATTTGTCTAATAAATTTATTTTTAAAAGTTAAATTAGATTGCTTCCTAAAAGTTAAGTCAAGTTTTTAATTAAGAAAGTATTTTTTTTTGAAAAAAAAAATCACTTAAAAATAAACATAGGTTTATGGTAATCTTTTAATGGGTCCTACCATTTGTATTTAATAGACTATGGATAAACATGTGTTAAGCTAATAAATAACTGTCTTTTTACATTGTTTAGGAGTGACCCTATCCACTTTTTGAATCATATTTCTTGAATTAATAGGATGCCACGTGTCTGAATGGTGATAGTGGGCTGTAGGCTTTAGAAGCAACTTATCAAAAAATGTCATGTGTCTAGCTTTCCAAAAAAATGAGAAGGCCACATGTCTGAATTGTGGGGGGTTGTAGCCTAGTAGTGAGTTGTGGGTTGTAGTACGATTTCTCAGAAATTATCACGTATTTAACTTTCAAGAAAATGAGAAGGCCACTTGTCTTAATAGTGGCAGTGGATTGTGTATTTTAACAACTTCTCAGAAAATGCCACATGTCTAGATTTTCAGAAAAATGAAATGACCACGTGGGGTTATAGACAATCAAAGAATTGAACAAAAAAGAATAAATAGGGATCCATGATCAAATGAGGGACCAAACATGAGCAGAACCAAATACATTCTCTCTCTCTCTTTTGCACACCTTTACCACCATTTCGGAGGCTTACCCCCACTTTTGCCAGAGTTGATCCTTGTACACCCTTTACTTAATACAAATCAAATATAATTTAATTTTCGGACTCAAATAAAAAAAAAACAGCAGAAAACTTTTAAAAATTACATTAATTCGAGTCTATATACAAATTGTGTTTCTAAATATAAATTAAACCTAATTTAATTCGGAAATTAAATAAAAACGCAGCCTAAATCATCAATCATCAAAGAAAGAAAAAAAGGCAAATCCTTTTATGTCATCAATTAGTCATCACATAAAGTAGAAGATTCGGTGAGATATGGGCGATGTGGGCTTGTTGCTATGAAGCGTTGAAAAAGGCTTGGGCTTGTTCAAGAAAGTAGTATAGTGAGGTGATGGAATCAGCAGTAGTCACCACCCAATATATGGAGCTATTTTTAAGGAACCCTAAGAAGCAAAGCAGCCCCGGCCCACAGAGTTGGACAAACTCAAATTAAAAAGAGAAAAAAAAAAAACAAAAACAAAAACAAAAGATCAGGTTGACATGGCGTTTTATCGCTAGAGCAAATTAACGAAATTGACAACGGGTGGGACCCACGAAAGGGTAATTCAATTCCACTTCTGGCGTGTCCTCAAGCGGTGCTGACATCACTAGTCCACCTTGGCGTTGCCGGAGTTCCTTTCGATTTTATTCATGTCTACTTATATTTACTGTGTGTGACATTGACAAGGTGGAATAAAAGCAAAACTGGTGTTTTCTTAGTATGATTTACGAGATATCCAGAACCACTTCTACTACTTATTATTATCCCTCCCCGTCGTATGTAAATGTCATACATACATTTACATCCCAATTCCCAACCTGTTAATTAATCTCTTTCTCTCTGTCTCTCTCTTTTTTTTTTTAATTCTTATTCTTTATTAATATTATTAATAAAGTGATTTTCGCTTTCATGAGCCGACAAGTTATGTCTCCCGTGTGATCCAAGATCTTGGTGGGCCCCGAGAAATAAAATGAATAGTAGTGAATGAGGAAAGAAGAAGAAGAAAAGGAATAGAAAAATGTGTCCCCGCCTCAGCTAAAAGTTGCCCTCCCTCTCCTTTCTCTTCTTACCACGACCCTCAGTCAATAAAGGCTTTGATTCTACACGTACTTAACGTGTGGATCAGCAGCAAATTTATGTTATACAGGCACAGCCAGCCGATCGAGAAAGGAAGCAAATTACATTAAAAGGACATATATGGAATTATGAATTCGTATTCGTCGGCGATGGATACGCCGAACATGAAGTCACGGCTACAAGGTCTGATATGTGGAATGATTTGGATCGTGGAATTTAACATGTGGCTAATTCAGTGGGTCCCGTGTTTGATATACGGTCAGTAGAGACTAGAGAGAGAGAGTGCTTCTAATTTCCAAGGCCACTGAACCCTTTTTTTTCGTATGTTTCATCTGTTGCATAGGCTCAATTTGGAAGGACTAAGGAGTATAAATGCAAATATATAGAGTGCAAATACTTAAATTTTGTATTTGCACTGTTTTCAAAAGAAAAATAAATATAATCTGTCTCATTTGATGACCTTTAACGGACCTATAAGGCTATGGTCCCATCATGGATCTATAGGCCCGGACCCACACAGGACTGTGATGTTATGATGGCACCACCGTCCATTCTCCCTTGGACCATTCCATCTATATTGATTGGACTAAGTTACGAGTGCTCTAATGTGTGGACCGTTCGTAGGCTAGCTTGCACAGACAAATGAAGAAAAGAATTTGTTTACCTTTTCAGTTTCAGATGCGTAAGTAGTAAGTAGTACTAAACAAAAACACATGGAGAGTACCTGATCCTTGAATCATCACCACTCATCTGATTGCTTGAATTATGGTGGGCCTTTATACTATACCAAATTAAGAATAAGGTCAACCCAAGGCAATGTGTATTCAACGAGTGATGATTGGATCTCTGTTGTCTGATTTGTGCAAACTCTTGGATTTCTTGACCCTAAGGGCGAAGCAAGATTGTGTTCTCATGGGTCCCACCATGCCTTGTCTGTAGGGCGAAGTTTCCAAGGGTTGAATGAACTTGAACTCACTCGCTGCCTACCAACAAATTTCCTCTTAGCATTTGTCATTTGTGTTCTAGTTGCAGTTGATTGGGTATATCAAAAGATTTAATAGGTTTAGGTGGTGTGTATTACTATTACATTACTGCTTAGGAGTACTGTATTCGTCGGTCCTATTAATTGATTAATTAATGTCTACAATGAAGTTATTTCAAATAAAGCAGTTAAGATTGGGACTTGAGTTTCTTCTATGATGAGGGCTTTCTTTTTCCAATTTTAATAAGAGTTTTTTGATGAAACTGAATCGAATATATCTCTACTAATTCCTCGATCTTACAACATATAATTCTAAAACTAGTGTGATCGATGTACAATTGTTTTGCATCAGAACCCGATACTTATCGGCCGATACGTATAAATATAATGTTCATGTTATAACGAGCAGCGTGAGGTCAGGTGTATGAATAAGCTGTTGGTGCAGGAGAAGAGAGGGAGAGTCAACATAGACGGGAAGCTAAGAAGCATCTTCCATTTCATCATGTCGATTTAGAAAGAAAACAAGATACAAAGAGAAAAAAAAGCACAGTTGGCAATCTACAGAAGATCTTCTGTGTCTAAAAATGAAAACAATTTTGTCTGTGATTACGACGACTTAAGACTTGGGACTAATACAAGGTATGCTCTCCCATTGAGTTGAGTTTACCCTTCATTTCACACGGATAACGATTAAAATGTGAATTATTCTTCTCACTCTCACAAAGCTTTCATATCTTTCTCAAAAATTAAATAAAAAAAAAAAGAAAAGAAAAAGAAGAGTTCGTATAATAGGAGGAATATCATCTGCACACAAACCGCTGGATTGGAATCTTTTATTTCATAAGGCTTGGGATATATGTTCATTCTGTAGAGACTAGAGAGAGAGAGAGAGAGTGCTGAACATGGACAATATCATTCTGTGGTGCTGGTGGCTCTGGTGTCTTGTCCTAATAATGCAACTGAAGAACACCACGTGTCGGAATCTGGTGACTAATGACCTGTGTCTCGTGTGCAAAATCACTAAAAAACAGGTTACGATTTATAATTTGAAAATTATTAGATAGCGAAAATAAAAAGAGAAAGAAAATTATTAGATAGAGGTCTAGATAATTGAAATGGTCAACACAGCAATAATCTTATATTATATTGGCTCAAGAATCTCAGGTGCGACAAGCCCACAGATTGATTGGAGGGTGGAGATTGAATAGCCAATGGTCCCAAATTCCTAATCCATGGCCTTGCTTATATTTGGGACCATAATACGATGCTTCATGGCAATATCGGGCCGTCGGTGTCGGCGGGCACTTTATTATTTTATAATATTGAAACTCCTGACCCCTACACTCTCAGTAACTACACGTTTTGTAGGAGTAGAGCTCTTCTCTTTTCCTCTCCTCTCCTTTAGTATTGATTTCTTATTTTTAATTTTTTGTAGAGTAGAGATAGAGATATCTTAAAACCCAATCCATTCTCTATGCTAAAGCATCACCAGATTTATTTGCGTAAAACCCACTTGATTGCTTCACCTTCCTGGGTTCCTCCCTCTCTCTCTCTCTCTCTAACCCCAATGACTTGAAACCTAAGCATGATTTTCTCTCCCCCTTTAAATCATCGGCAATAATCTTAATTTCCCCACACAAAAACAGTAAACAGATCTTCCCTTGTGTAAACCCTTCAGGCTATCGACCAGGTTGAGGTGGGTACTTGAATTCTCAGCGGAGAGTTCGACATCATCATCATCATCTTAATTCTCAAAATGGGGCGCCATTCATGTTGTTTAAAGCAGAAGCTAAAGAAAGGTTTATGGTCTCCTGAAGAGGACGAGAAACTGTTCAACCATATCACTAGATTTGGTGTTGGTTGCTGGAGTTCAGTTCCCAAACAAGCAGGTACCTAATCCTGTAGTGTGCCTCATCTCTGACCTCCATCGCTATGGATATCTTATTGATAATTCAGTAATTTTAAGCTTCCTTCCCTTCCTGCAGGCCTGCAAAGGTGTGGCAAGAGTTGCAGACTGAGATGGATAAATTACCTGAGACCAGATCTTAAGAGAGGAATGTTCTCTCAGCAAGAAGAGGATTTGATAATCAGTCTCCACCAAGTTCTGGGCAACAGGTATAGATATCGATATATCCAAGAATGTGAATCTCAAGTGGTTATATCCCTTGATGCAAAGACTGAGGTGGGTGTTGATGATTTCTTCCTTTTCGAATTGCAGGTGGGCTCAAATTGCAACACAACTGCCCGGAAGAACTGACAATGAGATCAAAAACTTCTGGAATTCATGCCTGAAGAAGAAACTGAGGCAGCAAGGGGTTGACCCGAATACCCACAAGCCCTTGAGCGAAACTGAAGTACGAGAAGATGAGAACAAGTGCAGAGAAGCAGACTCCTCGTCTCAACCTAAAAGGCTTCGACGCACATCGAACTCGGAAGAACTCGGCCAAGCATTTGCTGTTAATAGTTCCATCTACCAGGATTCCGGACTCAATGAAGCTTCGGAAAATAAAGTTCTGACAAAACCAGTCTTTGATCCCTTTCCTTTCTTTGAGTTCCAACCGGGTGTTAATCCTGTTGGGGATAACTCGAACCTTCTCTCCCAATATCACCAAAATTTCATACCTTTGGACCAGACCCAATTGGCCACCAACTTCGATTTCGGGTTTACTTCGATGCCTCGATTAACAAATTTGTCTGAAACAGACAGTTCGGATAACAATTCGTCTTCGAGGCTGAGCAGCTTATTCTTCAATGGAACAAAGGAAAATTCTAGTAACAGTAGCAATATGAACAGTCAGACAGAGTTTCAGATGAACAACATGGTTAGCACTGCAAGCTTTTCTTGGGAGTCTGGGACGAGGTTGGAGCCTATGTTTCAGTTTCAGCTTCACGGGATCAAATCTGAAGAGCTGGAGCTACGTTCATGGCAAGAAGATCAGCAACAACAAACCCAGAGTTCGGATGATTTCAGTAGCTTTCCACTGACGTCGCTATCGGAGGACCTAACTGGAGTGGGTTTCGATATCTATGAGCAGATTTAGACTGTAAATCCGGCGCCTAGTTCCACCATTTCTTTTCTTTTTTTTTTGGATTTTACACCCCCTCCCACCTACCAAAAAAAAATCATATAGATGTTGACAGTACATGGGGATCCTACTGAAAGGTTTGAGTTGGTGATTCTTTGAGTTTTCCTTTTCTTCTGTTTTTCTTTCTCTTCTTTTATCTACAGAAAGTCATGGAATAATGTTGTTGGAGTTGTGTGGATGAAAATGAATTCTTATTCTGTAAATGGATTTTGCAGAAATGCAGTGATGAGTTTGTTCCAAGGTCACCAATAAGAAGCTGATTATAATGTTTGAATTATTAATATTATTATTGCTCGGCAAGAAATCTTTATTTTTTATCGTATCATTACTACAATTTTCTATATCATTATAACTATGACTTGCTATTATTATTTGTTTGCAGGCTAAAACCACTTGCAGCTAGAATATATGTTGTTGGTGACTTTTTACTCCGTTTCTTTTGCTTTAATTCACTTTTGTTTTGTTTTCTTAGCTTCTTTTTCTTCTTCTTGAACAAACACCATGTATTTCACTGCTAGCTACGTCAAAAGGAAAGAGAAAGGGGACTAACAGCAGAAGCTCGACCAGTTACATCACTACAGTAGGGTGACTGGGTGAGTATATAAAACTTGCTATAAATGGGATTAGGGGGTGTGAAAATGTTGCTCAGGTCACATGGGCATGCCGGATAAGAATGCTGGTTCATCAGTTCAGTCGTAGCACTGATTCTCTGAGTGTCCGTCCTGCAGATTGGAAATGACCTCCCACACGGATGCTCACCGAGTCCCTTTCTGTAAAAAGCGGGTAGGGTACTGTTCTTAGTTAAAAACACTTGATGATCAACGTCCAATGCCCAACCCTGAACTACTCCACCCGGCGGTTCACACTTTAAACTCTTAACTCCTTACAATTAAGTTTGCGTTTTGTTCCGTTGGCGTTTATTGAAAAAATGTCGCTACATCACAGCCATATAGGCGTTGGCATTTATTGATTTGAAGCAAAATGAAACAATTATTTGGTTTCACCATTTATCAAATAAACGATAAAAAACTGAAACGCTTTAATTTGTGTGCATGAGACATTTGGGAAAACGCCAAATTCTTATTTTCTCAAATGCCCCAATATTTCTTAAAACCAAATGCTGATATGTCATATTTTAATGGGTATTAATCTAAGGTGGAGAATAAAAAATGTTTTAAGTAAAACTTAACCAAACAACAAAAACAGAAAAAAATTAAAGTAAAAAAGTATAAATAAACATTTAAAGTGAAAAATTACAAATAAACAACCACCCATAAATATAAACAAAACCAAACACCCTCTAAGTTACACCCCAACCACGAGATGTACGTGAAAATCAACCAAGTCAAATGAACCAGCTGCGATATTAGATGGTTTACATTCATCGATGTGGGTTTGTTTTTTATGCAAGATGCATATCCATTCTCCTAGGCTCCTAGTAACAATAAGCAAAGGGAAATTTAGAGCTCGATCAGTAGTCCAAATTTTTTGGTTTAATTTACAACACCTCCACCTGTGATTCATTACCCGGCCCCCCTTCAATTTTGATTCTTCATTCGTCCACGTGTCACTGTTCCAATTATACTAAAGTTTATGGGGTGGATTTAACAATAAAAACCCCAAAAGCAAAAGAAAATGTACATTAAAACAACTTTGATATTCCAATATTGAACTGGAATGCACGTCAGAGAAGAAATTTATCACGTTTTAATTGATAGGCTTAGGAAGGAAATGATCAAATGAGAGTGGGGTTGATTCCTTCTTTCTGCGTTTGTTTGAATCTTTGAATTATGGATTTTGTGCTATATCCGTTGCACTAGCTAAGTAGCTAGGTAGGTGCATAATGATGCCATCTATTGATTTGAGAACCGAGAAGTTTGCTTTAATATTTACAGATCTACAGATCAAGATAGTACTATGAGAGCTTTCACTCACTCACTCACTCACTCCCTCACATAGAATTATTAATTATTTATTATAAACCACGACCACTAGTTCTTTGGAGATTTTCTTCATTGCATTTGAGATAATTAGTACATTTCTGAACGGGCCACTTAGAGGGAGGACCATTTGATTGATTGGATTGCCCTGTCGACCTGCTTGGTGCAGCATTGCATATTGGTCCACCACTACAGCCTTCCACCCATTTGTTGCTGATACTTACTTCCCCAGGCGCAGGCTCATCTCTGTTTCTCTCGTCAGTCGTCGCTGCCACTTCCAGTTCCAGACTACTCTCTTGTGCATAAACAGAGAGATTCCTTTATTACCTGTCCAAATTTGCTTAGCTACATCTTCTGTTTCTTAAAGTTTCTGCGTATTTGCAGCGACACTTCCTATTTCCAGTCCTGCTACATAAACAAGACGTCTACAGTGGGGTTAGAAACCCAATCCGAAATAAACATGTCAATTGCAGGTACATTTAGCAACAAGTATACAGACTCCCCACGTGGCAAGTAAAATTTTTTACCTTTTGGCATTCATCTTTTACGGTTTTACCATGCATGACTCTTACATTAGACTATTATATACAAAAGGAACTAGACGACCTAAGTCTGGACGTCTGGATTGGAGTGTGGAACAAATTCCCATTTTGTTGCAACTTTTCTTCCTGTTTTTCTCTATGCTTTTGATTTTTTTTGTCAAAAAATTGTAAAATTAGATCCACAAATGAGATTAGGCATGTGTTTCCTCTCATTTTTTTTTCTTTATATTTATATTCTTTTTGGAATTCATACTTTTTTTCCATCATACTGTTCTTATTTACATAAAAATGCCCATTTATCCCTCCTACTTTTCTCTCACTGAAAAACATTAATTTTTTCTCTTGAATTTTCTCCAGTATCTTTAATTTTTGTTAGTTATACACTTATACTTAGTAAATATATTAAACCAAAGCCCTAAGACCATAAGACAATAAGGGTGTGTTGATCAATGTGTACAAATTTACTCCAGGTGGTGGGCCACCATAAAGCTCAAATCAAAGGACCTATTTGGAGGGGGACGTAAAAGCCTTACTCCTCTGAGAACTTATCCAGTAGTGTCTACCCGTTCATAGTAAAATTCTGATAGACTTGAAAGAAAGCAACAAGATTTACGTCCATTTATGTAGAATGAAGGGCCTGGGGTGGATTCGAACTGAGTTCAGCCAAATAGCTAGTTATTTGAGCTTGATTCACTGAGACAATGTGAGGCTCGAGCTCAGTTCAAGCTAGAGACTTGAGCTCGAGTTTGGCTCAAATCAAAAGCTCATAAGCTCCAGCTCAAATGTGAGTCAAATGCTTTATAAAAGTAATATATGTAAATTTATTTTTATTTGATATTTAAAAAATAATAATTAGTTATTATTATATATAAAAATAAAAAGATTATATGTATGTATATATGTATATAGAAGTTCAATTAGGCTCATGAGCCGAGTTCGAATAGTTCATAAAAAGCTCAACTCATTGCTACCCCTATAAAAGGAAAAACAAACCACTCATATTGCCAAACACCCTTTAAATATCAACCTAGATTAAAAAGTTACACCGTTTTTTTTTTTAATAAACCAAATCCAATTTGGTTTTTCAATTCAAATAAAAAACCTACAGAAAAGGCTTTCCATAAGTTGGTGTAGGTAACATTCTTTAGGCTGTGTTTGATTGCAGTGCAATTTTATTTGCACTAGTACAAATGCATAGGAGTGCAAATAAAAAGAATTCAAATTCTGGTTTAATTTTGTATTGGGTGTTATTTTATTTTACTTCGAGTGTTGATTTGCTTTATTTGTACTGTAATTAAACAAAATAATGTAAAATTTGAAATAAAAATAAATCATAATTTGCATTAAAATCGTTTACACTGTCATGATTTTGTATCAGTGCAAATAAATTTGCATTGCAACCGAACACAGCCTTAATATAAAATGAGTTGTTAAATTACAAATCAAATTCCAACAGTTTTCACTAAGGCTATGTTTGGTTTGAAAGAAAAGGTAAAGAAAGGAAGGAAAACCTTTATAAACCTTGAATAAGTTTTCCTGTCTTTCCTTTCCTTTTCCGACTTTTTCCTTCAAACCAAAAATAGTCTAATGTTTTCTGACATAAAATGGACCCCAAATCTCCTAAATCAAAAAAAAAAAAACCTAAACTTACCCTATGGATAGTAGGTACTGTACAAAAGACAAAGTATGCTTACCCCGTACTGAGTACGGGATGATCACTATTAACGAGTTTATCTAAGATAATCACATTGACCGACACTGGGTTAATGGCTGGCCTAGTGGTTTCCCTAGACAGGCCAGGCTAGCTTGGGCCTGGGATTGAAGCTGGGTTTATACACGTGCAGGAGCTTGGAGAGGTCAGAGGAGTATTATAAAAATGGGACAGGTCCAAAGCCCATCTGAGGATAGTTGGCGTACCCAGTTCCTTGATGTTGTTGGAGCAACCTTAGAGGCCTAGAGGTTGAGGATCAATATACAAATGGGTTAAAAAGTCCAGCCCATCAATGCAAACATATATAAAAAACTAAAGATTCATCATTCATAAACAATTAAAGTTTTGTTCCATTTGATTATTGCCGTGTTTGTAATGTGGGCGTTTTTTTAATAAAAGCTGTTATATAGGCATTATTTCAGCATTTAGCTTATATCATAGAGACTCATAAAAGCTGGTCTTGATTTATGTGTATGTCTATYGTTGAGGAAAGCTTCATTTTAATACTTCTTCCATATATTCCGTAGTGACGCTTAATTGTCAATAATTGATTTCATTATTATTATTTTTTTTCAGTTTTACAAATAAATCAAATACAAACATTGAATGAATAAATGTAACCTATACCAAATAAATATTATTTCAAAGCACCACCACATGAATTGAATTACCACCACCACCAGGCATGAGGCACCACGCCTGATTCAGATTCAGGTATTAGTCAATCAGTCTTAACTCAGGTATTCAGATTCAGGAACTTCGTGCCCACATCGGCTTCAATACACGTTTGGCGATTCTTCGCTTGGTTGAGTATTTTATAGCGAACCACCAAATATATATATATATTTAACACATTAATGTATGTCCATTTTGAGGGTAAAAGAATAAAAACCTTTTTTTTAGCATCTAGTAGAACAATAAAAATTTGGTATGTTATACTAAAAGAAAGATTTATAAAAGAGAAAAAAACTAGAGCTGAAAAGTGTTGAAGAACAATGAACCATTTTTTTGAAATTTATTCTTAAGGCCGTGTCTGGTTTCAGTGCAATTTAATTTGTA